GAATTTTCGGCTGCTAGGGTTTTTTTTTTTTAAAAAAAAAAACTTATTACAATTAAACATCTTATTATAAATATATAATCATAATCCTATTTACAATAGGATTGTCTTACATTAATCTCTCCCACTTGAGAAAACTCATTCTCGAGTTTTGTTGAAGAAAAGAATCCTTGATAACTAGTGTGTTTCGAACTTCGTTGGGACTCAAGGAAGTTCTCTGCTGGTGTTCTATGCTGGTTGAAACAACCAACATTCATAGGAATTAAGGTTTCTTGTTAGCTTGCTTTTCCACGGACTCGCAATTCCTTTCAAGACTCAACGCAGTCAGCATCTACGTAATGTTATGAAGGGTTTCGTCGATCGATCATCTCAATTTGTTGTTCGAGTTTGTCGAGCCTCTGTTCGTCGTCGACGGTTCGACTGCCATAAGTACCTTCGTCGGCCATCGAATTAAGGCAGTTTCCTTGTTCTGATACCATTTTTGGTGTGGAAGGGTTTAAAATTCTTGTAATAAGAATTGAAATAAGAATTATGTTGGAATAATCATGCTTTTTTATTAATTTACGATTGATTGTGATGAAAAATGTACAATGCATATATATAAGCAAAATTATTCAATAATCCTATATTATACAAGGAAACCAAAATAAAGAAACTAAATCCTAAAAGGAAATAAACTAAAATCCTAATTTAAAATAAATTAGAAAACCTATTCTAAATAAAAATATGAGAATAAAAAGATAAAACTGATTACAACTAGACATCTTATTATAAAAGTATAATCCTAATCCTATTTACAATATGATTGTCCTACATCAGATTATTTCATTCTTATTGAGACAATTGATTATGGAATTTACAAATGAAATTTGTGTATTCCAAGGGCTGGGATAATCAACAATGCGTAACTTGATTAGACATGATGGTATTTTAGCTTGTGTTATTTCAGCACAGGATTGTTTTATTTTGTTTATTTGAGAAAAGAGAAGAAACTGACACGGGAGAACTGGTTGAGCTCAAGCTTCTTATTTCATTTTCTGTTACAGCAAGGTAAAGAAATTTGGACTTGAACGGAACTTTTATATTCTCTACTTATATACAGTGCAGTGCTTGAAATTATTAAATATACAAGAAAAATTTGATGACGAGAGAAAAGAATTAGGAGTTGAAGACAGTATTGGTAATTTGTATGTTGCTGAATTGGGGTGCAATTGATCAGGGTAAAAGTTACAATAAATGAATGAAAGTTAGTACGAGTATATGCATATGTAACATGGTGCAAGTAACAGAATAGAAGAAAGAGGAGCAGGACCATATGCCTGGGTTATATTTCAATTTTTTTTCTGCTGCTGCTAAGAGATTTAGATAAATTATAGGTGGACTGAGACAATTAAATGGCAGTGATGAAGCAATATCTAAAGACAAGAGAAAGGGAGGATTAGCTGGATGTATAATTTAGATGCAGAGAGTGAATAGATAGAAAATAAGAAATCACAAGTACAAAAAATAAGAGGGGAAGAAAAAGGAAAGAAATAGTAGCTACAACTTAAGCCTTGCTTTTGCTTCAGCTCTTTGGCAGTAGAAAATATGAAGATCCTTAAATTAGGATTTTAGGGAACCTAGCCAAATCGCGGACACACTCAAGCATATTTATCATGTTTGACTAGGAAATGCAATGAGTAGTATAAAATGCTTTGATTAGGAAAAAAAATTACTCAATGAATTGAAAAAAATTGTAAAAGAAAAAGATCTTACCAGAGAGAGAGAAACCTGGCATAGGTGCAAAGAGAAGTTACTTCAAGTTCGAAGTTGTATGAGGCTGCTGCTTCCCATAGAACTCTGATTGAGTTGAGTTCTTGAATAAGTGAAAAGTATGTCCAAAAAACAGTTGTTGAAACATGAAATATCATATCCACGGCTTCAAGTGTACTTTCCATCAATAAGATTCACATAATATGTGAAATGATAAAAATTTACACGACTAATTATTCCAGTGAGTTTCATATTTTTTTATTATGTACCACACCAAATTCTTCAAGCACCACTAGCATATAAACACACCCATTCTTTAATTTTGATGTAATCTGCATAGATAACATTGAAGACTGTTAGTAACTGCACATGTAAAGTATCAAAATGGGGTGTTCATAACAAATGGAAATGAACTGTCCCAAACATTTGATTTTGAGAAAAATTAAGAAATGAAGTCTTATTATGATTAAAAAACAATGGGGCCGGAAGAGGATGAAGATTATGATAAAAAATAAAAAATAACCGAGTGTTTAGCATATTATTAAAAGATACAAATTAATCTTTGATTGGAACAACAAGGGCTGATCTGATTTATTGAAAATGCACTGCAGCAATCACTAGATCGTCGTCATTACTAAAAAAAAGTGAACTCCGAAATATTATCAACTAGAAAAATGAAAACATCAGTAATGGAATGTGCAAAGATTTTTATCAGGATATCATTACAGTGAACTTTAATAAAAAGAACAGATTCCATAAAAATCAGCAAAAACTGACGGATTTACAGAAACAAACCCTTCTCAGTGCCACCAACATTGGAAGGTGATCAATTCATGTTGATAAGAAAAATCCTTCTCAGTCCCACCAACACTAGAAGCTGAACATCAGTTAGACCAAAGAACAAAACACAAAAAAGATCCTTCTAGATTCATCCTAAGAAAGAAAGTAATTATATA